TTAAATTAAAATCACATGTAAATTTGATTGGATTGCATTTGTATAAATATATATAAAAGATTTTATTTGACTAAACTCACCTATCTACAAATTCGCATAAAATTTTTCTCAAAATTTAATTGGAAATAATATCATTTGTTTTTTTGTTTTTTGGACTCTTTCAAATATTTATATACCAAAAGAAATAACCCAAGTTAGATGGTTTCCTCAATCCATATTGTATTTTCACGGTGTTCTTTAAAAAAAAAATGCTATTTGGAATGTCACAATAAAAATCTTAAAGCTTCCTTAATAATTAATAAATTGATATTTATTGATATACTTACCACCAAGGAAACCCATCTCAAACCAACCATCAATTACAAAAAATTACTTTATATATATCACATACAAATCCTCTATCACAATAACCACCACTTATAAAAAATCCCAAAAAACTAAATCTAATTTAATCTATTAATATATAAAAAGACAATGATGTTTACTTGAAATAATAATTTAAAATCAATAAAAGAATATTTGGTTTCCCGCCTAAAAATTTTGATTTTACTAAATTGAGTATTTTTTTGCCAAAATTTGAAAAGTCCTGCCTAAATTAATGTAGTTAATGTACATAATCATTTTGGTCAAATAATGTGGCTATTACTTTTATTAGTTGAATGATTATTTGAAATATAATATATTGACAAAACTTGCGGCTATTAGCTTTATTAGTTGCATGATTTAAATTTGGTATATAATAATATTGGAAAATTATATTTTTGTTTAAACTTAAAAATAAAAAAAATAATTATTCATAACTCACGGGTCAATATTAACTTGAAATAGTCAATTATTTATAGTTTAATAATTTGCTCAATAACTTACAGGTCAATATTAACTTGGATGTAAACGAAATAGTCAATTATTTATAGTTTAATAAATTACTCAACTACTTAATTTTTTTTTATTAGAATAATTTATACAAAAATAAACTTATTTTAAGTAATGGAACGATATAAATTTTATATTATACTTATTATTCACATATGTTGTTAAATATATGATAAATTTATAGTCGAATCGAATTTCTGAATAAAATATTGAAATGACACTTATCTTGAAATAAATATAATGTAATTTATTATCAGATATATGCACTACACGGGTTGTGTACAAATTTTAAATAGACATTTTTATGTAATTTTGCATAATTTAAACGTTATGTAACATTTTCAATAAATTAATATAGGTAAATTGTATTACATATTGGTTCCATATTTTAATTTATAAATATTAGTATTTAATAAGAATTTTTAATATATAAATATTAATGAATAACTCTTACTCGTGCACTGCACGAGACTCATACTAGTTCATGTGTAAAATGACCACTTACATTCATTATATATTTTATTTGTTACCAGAATTTTTCAAAAATTAGTTGGGGTAAGCGATGAGTAAAAACAAAAAATATTCTTATATGTTATTTTATGTTATGTAATTTTATTTAGCATACATATACAATTTATAATGATATAACATTTTTCATTTGTTATTTTATAATATAATATTACAATTGATTTTTATCTAACTGTTGTTGTATGACATTTAACAACCATATTAAACGATAGCAAGGTGTAATTAAAGCCAAAAAGATGTTAATTCCGTATTATTGCTTTGTTGTTGTTGAGTACAGAAAGTCGGTTTTTGTGTATAACCGAGCTATGTTTGTAATGTGTGTCAAAAGATCCCCGTACAATAATAAATTCTGCTATTTATAATATGGTGCATTTGACTTTTCGTACGAGGTAGATTATGTCGCATTTAATGTCGAGCAGCTTCATTAAAGCGGTTTGTAGGGCAATGGGGGGACAACAATGATTACAAATGTAATATGTGGCCCAAACAGACATACGCCTTGTCACCTGCTTTGAGATTTAACTACCTCGGACCTCGGTTTTTGTGGATAATTTTCAGAAAGAAATGTTCGGGAAGTCGATTGTTTGTCTTTTAGTGTGAAGTCGGTCCACCGCCATATTGAAGTCGGTTTGCTCTTATGTGCGAGGTCGGTTTATCACCTTACTCGTACCGAGATGAACTAAGTTGGTCACGTGGAATAGGTTGAAAGAAATGCTGTGAATAATATCAGTAAATGTCTGTTTTAATCCTGACAAATCAGGTCAGTTGTCAATAAATCAGGTCGGTTGTCAACACTAACCAAACAAAATACAATATTATAGACAACATAAATGCAACATGTATATCAAGAAAAAGAAAATAAAAGGTTTTAACTATAATAAAGAAAAAATATAGTCTGCTCAACGCACTTTCCATTTTAATATGATGATGAAGGCACATTCTATGTGAGTAGCCTAACAGTTAGGTAAGTCCACTCATCATACTATCGTAACAAAAATACCTACTTATGTTATAAAATATCATACTTATGCTTAAAAAAGTCATGTTTAAAACTATGAAAATTTGTTAAAAGTGTATGGTCGTCTAACCGTTGAACCTATCTAATAGCATTTTTACTAGCTAATGAATACCCGAAACAACACAACTATATATAGCTTGTTCTATTTTAACTAGTGCATAGCCCGTGCGATGCACGGGGCACATATATTAGTTGAGTCATCTATATGGCTTGTACGATTTTGGCAAAAAATAATAAGGTTGGATCATTAATATTCCAATCTATTCAATCAGTGATATTTATTTTAGTTATAACGTTGACATGTTATTAATATATCATTCTGCTAACACGTTATATTGATATAAATTTGATTCTGCAACATATATGTATCCATCGATATAAGAAAAAAAAAAATTATGTTTATTCTTGTTCACCATTTATTTAATAGTCAATTATTATTTTATTATAATATTTGTTGTCATATAATGTCATTATTATTATTTATAAAGGTTATAGAAGTAGTCTTCTTCTTCTTAGTTTATGTAATGAGTTTAAAATAAAAATTTTTCTATACATGTTTACAAAATACACACACATGTTTTTTAGAATTTAATTTTCTCATAATAATTAAAAAAAAAATTTATTTAGCAAATTGTCAAATAATAAACCTTACATAATCAAGAGATTTTTCTAATTTGCATCCTAAGGCTTTATTAGTTTATTTAACATACTATGCGATATAAATATATATTTTACAATAAAAGCATTATGAAAACAAATAAAAATAAAAAAAAAATGATAAAATTATCATGGTCGACAATAATATACAAATAAATCAAATGTTGAAAATGTAAAGAATAGTTAATATATTTTAATTTTATTATTTAGCCATTAATAAATTATTTAATGATGTGATTATTATCTCTTAAATGGTAAATTATTTTAATTTAAAAAATTATTTGTTTATATAATTAAATAAAGGTTAAAAAATATTATCGAAAAATATTAATTCATCAACTTGATTTCGGCTAATTAGTTAGAGGGAAAATTATTTAACATGTTACCATTGTTTATAAATACTAGTTTTTGTCCCGTGCATTTGCACGGAAAACTATATGATACATGAAAAAATAATAAAAATTATAAACAACAGTAAAAATCATAACAAAAATTCATTTAAAAAAATTAAAAAAAAAATATAAATATTGTTAAACACTTCTTTATGAAACAACGTCGTGGTTTTTCTATCGTCAAAATCTACCTCAGCTCAAATCAAAATCTTCAAACCCCACTGGCTCGTAACTCTAAAAAGCGCCACGTATAATTGCTCATGACTAAATGCAGAGCTCTTCAGTAGTAAGCCGACGTGCGACAGAGACTGTCTTTGACTCTTATTGATCATGTCATAGCATAGGAAACACTTCTTTATATTGTTTATCCTCGACTCTTATTGATTGATAGAGATTGTCCTTGCTTCTTAATAAAAAAAATACCATCTAAATATAAATGAGTAAATATAATATTAATTTTTTATATAAACAAAAAATTTAAAGTAATTGATAATGAGTATAGAATTACTCTTGCGGGTTCAAGTTATTTCAACGATGTTCTTTTTATATATCTAAGATTTAATTTTTTTTTCTGATTTATATGAATATAAGCACATTTGACTAATTTTTATAAAATTTATTGAAAAAAGTTACTATTTTTTTGAAAAATTAATAAGATATTAAGATAATACTGTACTTAACATAAATGTGAGATTAATTAAAATAAATTTTTTTAATTTAATCATTAACTAATTAAATTTAACTAAAAAAACCTTCTTAAATGTGAGATTAATGAGTAATTAATTAAAAAAAATGTAACTCCTTTTGGAGGGAAAGTAAAAATATTTTTATTAAATGTTTTATTAAATGGGATTAGCTAGCAATTATATATATATAGATTTTAGGATGAAAGTCAACATTTGTGAAAAAAAAAAATAATAATATGGTTAAGACTTAAAAGTTGTTTTCATGTTTATGTTGACCAAAATATTATCAACATCAATCACGAAAAATCAAATTATAGTTTATTATAATGGATATCAATAAAATTATTGCATATGTTAATAAAATTATTCAAGGAAAGAATCTTTTTGGTCATATTTGATTTGGAAATGTGTATATTAAATGCATATATTTAAAAAATTTCCAAATAAAGTATGCATTAAATGCTCATTGACTTTTTTGCTGCTATTTTTGATAAATGTTAATTCTTTTTATATATATATAGATACTTAGATATGTATTATTTTATTTTATTTTTAATTTTTGACAGCATATTTGAAAGGAAGAAAATAAAAGATATTTAAAACTATAAGTTGCCTTTGGTACAATTATCTTATTTAGCTTACACCATAAATATGTCTTATTTCACAAATAGTGTATTGACACATGTTCTACATTAAATACATATTGAACATGTGTCTGTACATAAAGTTATAGATGACTCTATAAGGTAGTTATTCGATGGTTCCATAATTTTTTTGATATTATATGATTCGCTAACAAAAAATAAAGATATTCTCCAACTGTATAACACCATATCATATCATCTAATTCATATATGCATGTATTTAATTTCACCCATTCTCCCTCTAACTATATTAAATATTGACTAAGAGAATTTGCCAACTGTATAACACCAAGCATTTCCACACACCATTTGCTGCCCAATTACAACAATGTCGACTGCATTGTAACTGAGCAACTGCACAGAGAAGACCATCTCCTCAACTGCTCTTTCCGCTCCAATGGCCGCCGGTGAGGACATCACGGAGGCGCTCCGCCTAGTTCGCGACGTCGTTCGGATCTCCGGCTCCGGGTTCTCGGGCCTATTCAAGAAAGACTGCTCGGACTTGGCGAGAAGGGTATCGCTCTTAGCACATTTGCTTGAAGAGATTAGGGACTCGAAGAAAGCTCAAGAAAAATGTGAAGTGGGTTCATCTTCTCTATCCGGTTCTTGCCTTTCCAATCTGATTTTAGCTTTAAAGGCTGCGAAAAGTCTCGTCGTTGCCGCTAACGATTTTGATAGCACGGATTTTTCTTCTGTGAGTGCGCTTTCAGCGGCATTGCCGTGTTTTTATTTAATTTTTATCCTCCGCTTTTGATTTATGACGATTATGTTTGTATCTGTATGTTGATGTGGGAATTTTTGTGGTCTATGTTAGAATTTCGCTGTTCTTGTAGATTGGCTGATTCTAATGATTATTGTGCAAAAGGGGTATTTAGTGTTGACTTATTGTTTGTCTTTCTGATAAAGATCACCAATATATAGAAATGTGCTAGTTGGATGGTATTCATTTCCCTGTTTCTGATCCGATCTGGGATTTTTTACCTGTTGACATATGTTATCAATTGATGTTTGATTGATTTGTGAATGTTTGCCATGCCAAGTAAAGTTGATTTTATTTGAGGTTTGAAAATGAAGTTTGAATTAGATATTTTTGTTTTTTTGTTTCAAAATTATTCAAGATTCCTCTGTTTGTCTGTGTGTTTGTTCTGATGATTTTCATGTTGGAGTTTTAGTAAGAATACCTGCAACAATTCAGAACAAGAGTGTGAGAAAAATCAGAACGACGTTATCATGTGAAATAAACATTAGGTTCCATAAGCTTGATATTATATTTGAAAAGCAAAATGAAGTTTCGAAGAATTGTTTTTGACTAAGTTGCGAGATATATATGGAATTATATAAGTTTGAGTGCAATAAAGCGTAATTGCTTAGGCATGCACTTGTTTAGTGCCTTGCAATTTATATTCAATCTTTATCTGTGCAAATTTATCTATCAACTCCCTAGCAAGAAGATTACAATTAGGCATTAGGTTGATGTGCATTTATCACTCTGCTTCTCTTCCATCTTTGATAGGATTTTTATTTTCAATTTTAGCGGCTTCAGGATGTGGCTACAAAGAAAATCATGTTCCAATTTCAATGCGTGACATGGAAATTGGAGAAAGCACTAGCTAACTTTCCACACGATGATTTTGATATAACCGAGGAAGTAAAAGAGCAGGTGAGTTTTAAATCTGTAACCAAGTTTATAATCTTTTACATGGATTGAGTTCAGATAAAGATTCATATCCCTTCTTCACCAGGTTGATTTAGCCACAGCACAATTGAGACGGGCGACTGAAAAATATGGTGGGCCCTTAAACTCAATTTTGTTGCACAGAGCAATCTCTCAGCCGTTGGATAAAGAGATTGACCCATTTCAGCCAAGCAATATTGATGATGAGGTGAACAGGAAACTGGAAGGTTTTGCTTTAGATGAAGTTTGTGAAACTAAAGAAAGCCTAATAAGGGACTCGTCTGCCTTATCTGAGATTTGTTGTGTCACGAAGGATTTAGATTGTGCAAGAAATAATAGCTTGTCATGCAAAAACAGAGAGGAAAACAAGAAGCCTGATAATTTAGTGATCCCTGATGATTTTCTTTGCCCAATATCACTCGAGCTTATGAGGGATCCAGTTATTGTGGCCACGGGGCAGGTAAGGTTCAAAGCTCTAGCTTTTGCAAAAGTGATTTATAAGTTATTTCATTATTAGAAAATGTGGTAGTGTTTGTAGAGAAGCTAAATTTGAGAACAGTTAAAATAAAACTGAGTGTTTGGTGAATAAGTCTTTATTTGTGTTTTAAATGTTGAACCACAAGTAGAGTCCAAAAATCTGAAGCCACCCATCTTCCTTCTTCATATTCTGATTCACACAGAGTTGGAAGCAGAAGTTGGCATTTAAAATGTAATTAAATTTGGATCTTAGCTAAAAACCACATTTTTTTCTTACGAATTTTCAAACAGTCACAGAAGACTACGAGAATGTTTATGCAAACACTCTAAATAAACTTGTAGGAGAAAACTAGTTCCATTGTTAACAAAATTCAAGATTCATTTCGTTCTTTTTTCACTCCTTACGTAGAATCAGAAGTAGGAGTTCGACAATTTGATTTGAATACATCAGAAACTACTTTCCTTTGCTAGACAGAATCCCAAATCCGATGTTTTTTAAAGCAATTACCAAAACTCATATACATGTTATAATTATATTTTTTCATTTATGTTTTCCTTTTCTTGTCTCTGTTTTAGACCTATGAGAGATCCTACATACAAAGATGGATCGACTGTGGGAACACAACATGCCCGAAAACCCAGCAAAAACTCCACCACTTCACTCTCACCCCAAACTACGTCCTCAGAAGCCTCATCTCTCAATGGTGCCTCAAACACAAGCTCCTTCACCCTACTCCCCTGCACCCCCACACACACGATTTATTCTTCACCTTCCAAACCCTTATCCACCAAATCTCAACCTCATCTCCCAAAGAACGCAGAGAAGCCTTGTCCGAAATCCGGTCACTTTCCAAAACAAACACAGACAATCGCATCCTTCTTGCCGAGGCCGGAGCCATTCCTATTCTCGTCAGTCTATTAACTTCCGACGACTCCTTCATTCAAGAAAATGCCGTCACCTGCATTCTCAACCTCTCGATTTACGAAAACAACAAAATGCTCATCATGCAGGCAAACGCAATACCCTCGATCGTTCAGCTTCTTAGATCCGGAAAAAGCACGGAGGCCCGCGAAAATGCGGCCGCCACACTTTTCAGTTTATCTTACGCAGACGAGAATAAAATAATAATCGGGGCCTCGGGTGCTATATCAGCTTTGGTCGATTTGCTTGAGAAAGGGAGCTCGAGAGGGAAAAAAGATGCGGCCACAGCTTTGTTTAATTTGTGTATTTATCATGGGAATAAAGGGAGGGCTGTTCGGGCCGGGATTATAAACGGGCTTATGAAGATGCTTACGGGCTCGGGCATGGTTGATGAGGCTTTGGCTCTTCTTTCAGTTCTTGTGGGCCACCCGGAGGCGAAAACTGGTATTAGGAAGGCGAATATGATGCCGGTTTTGGTGGGCCTTGTGAAGACGGGCTTGCCACGCGGGAAAGAGAATGCAGCTGCTGTTTTGTTCTGTTTGTGCAAAAGGGACTCTGCAAATCTTGCTTGCTTGAGCGGGCTTGGAGGGATGGTGGCTCTTATGGAGTTAGCAGAAAATGGTACTGAGCGGGCGAAGAGGAAGGCATTGTCGTTGTTGGAGGACCTTCGTAGATTTCAAAAGAGGTCTGGTTAACTGATTTTTTATTTTTTTTTTGGATTTGACGGTGAAAATTACACGATTTTTTACAGTGTGGGGGGGATTTGAGTTGGGGCATGAGTTGGTAAGAAATTTCTTGTGCCTCTTTGGAATTTCATTGTATTTATTGACTTCAAATTCGTTCTTAAGCGTGGGACTCGAGCTTTGATCTTGACTTATGTTTGTTTTTGGTGTATTTTGCGTTGGAAAAATGATTGTTTAACGTGAGTGATTAAACCCCATTAAGCAGTACAAAAATTCTTCCAATGGGGAGCTTTCTTCTCTCAACGGAGAGCCGTAATTCCTTCATCGGAAGGCCAATAAGGAACTGCCATTTACGCCATATCAAGATTTAGATTAAGGTCATCGTCTTCTCTCTCTCTTTCCTTCAGTTTTTTTTCATCATTTTGTTCTCTCCTCCCCGTTATTTCCCAATTCACATTTCTAGGGTTTGCCTTGGAGGCCCTATTTCGTTCTGGTTTCCTTTTCTCCTCCATCAGGTCAATTGGGTAGCTCAATCAAGACTCTCAATCTCATTTTCTCTGTCTGGGCTCCATGGATATTCTCGAGAATAAACTCAAAGAATGCAACCTCAGTCAAAAGGAAGAAAACATTATTCCCCTTCAGGAAGGAGATGTCACAACGAGTGCAGAAGAGTGTGAGCGCAGTCTCTTTGGCAAAATCATCGGAGATAGAAAAGCTCATCTCTATGGGCTACGAAAAACTATGACACAAATATGGCAGATCCGAAACCAAATGGAGGTGCGCGAGCTCAAACATAATTTCTTCCAATTCATCTTTGAAAATCTTGAAGACAAAAAGAAGGTGGCTAGAGGAAAGAATTGGTCCTACGAAAATCAATACCTCCTCCTCAAAGATTGGCAGGACGACATACACGCTGATCATGATTGCTTCGCTGAAATGGATATGTGGATCCAAGCTGATGGTATTCCTCTTAACTGGCTGAGTATAGAAGTTGGCATCAAAATTGGCAAAGCCTTCAAGAATGCTAAGGATGTGATAATCTGTAACTCTTCCACGGGAAATGGCAGGTGTATTAAATTCCTGGCCACTATAAATCTTAAAGAGCCTCTACTCAGATGTGCTAATGTCCAATTAGGTGGCAAAATTCAGCGGATTATGTTCAAATATGAGAAGCTCCTAAATTTCTGCTATTACTGCGGCTTTATTGGGCACTTAGAAAGATCATGTTTGAAAAGGACTGCAGATATTGAAGCTGGAAATCCCCAGAAATGCCAATTTGGAGAGTGGATCAAAGTTCCAGACTCTCAATCGGTTTTCAAAGCTAGAAATTACAGCAATCACTCAGGTACTTCTACCCATTCCCCCTCTCCCTCTCCTGATATAAACTCCATTCCTAACATTCATAACAATAGCAATCCCACTCCCTCTGCTCATTTAGACCCCTCCAATCATTCCACCCCAGATACAAATCTATCTCTCATTAACCCAATCAACCCAACTCCTATAAATACCTCCAATGCCAGCAGTGAGCCAACCTCACAACCTATTAATAGTGAACCTCTTGCCGTATCTCCATCACATATAATGCTAATTCAAAGTCCAGATCAACCATCTGCTCCTGATAACTTAACCATGTTGATAGATTCCACAGCCACTGTCAAGAATGCCATCCAAAAACAAGCCCACCCAAAAAAATGGACCAGGAAACCCAACATTTCAACATCTCTCACCTCCTCTAAACCAAATACCTCAGTCTTCAAAGGCAGCCATACTAATAAAAGGGGCAGACTGCAATCTGATGAAGCCACTCCCTCTACTCACATCTCTCAGTTCCAGGGAAACCCTGCACCAGTTACCAAAAAACAAAAGCAATCCATTGCTAAGGTGGAGGCAGCCAGCCTGAATTGGCTCCCAAGTGACAAATGAGAGCTATGGTGTGGAACTGTAGAGGTCTGGGAGGACCCTCTACAGTTCCCCAGCTGAAGGAGTCCATTAAACTCCACCTCCCATGGTTTACCTTCCTTTCTGAAACTAGGAAATCTTCTGCTTTTGTTAATACTGTTAGTAAGAAGCTTGGTTTTGCTGATCATTTCTTAGCCATTGACCCCACTGGTCAAAGCGGTGGCCTCCTTTTGTTATGGAATAGAGACATTGTTATCACCAGCATAATTTCCCACTACTTTTGTATAGAAGTTGAGTACCAGCATCCCTCATTACCTTCTACTCAATGGGCAATCTTTGTCTACATCAGTCCTGTTGCCAGTGAAAGAGAAATGCAAAGAGAGTACCTTCTGAATGCTAAAGACAATTGGGGTGACTCTTGGATAATTGGGGGGGATTGGAATGACATCTGCAGTAGTGAAGAAAAGAAGGGTGGAAGAGAAAGATCTGAGAGCAGTTTTTGGGGATTCAGAAATTTTATTGCCCAAATGAACATGCTTGAAGTCCCTATGTCAGGCCACCCTTATACTTGGGGAAACAACAGAATGGGAAACCTTTTTGTGGAAGAGAAGCTGGATAGATTTTTCTCTTCTCTTGGATGGCTCACCCATCATCCTATTACCTCCTCTGTCAATATCTGTAGAAGCTCCTCAGATCACAACCTCATCCTTCTCTCAGACACCCCAAATATCTCCAAGCCTAAGAAAAGGTTTTATTTTGATAGGAGATGGATAACTAAAGATGGAATTCAAGAAGTCATTGCTAAGGTGTGGACTTCCCAGCACTCAGGCACACCCATGTTCCAAGTTCAGAGCAAGATCAAAGATACAAGAATCTCTCTCCTAAAGTGGAGTAGGAACTTCAAAACTGAAAACTCTAAAAAGATTGCTGATATTACAAAAGAGTTGGAAATCCTGAGATCTCAGGGAGGGGATAGAGACTGGCAAAAATGGCATAGACTGAAATCCCAGTTGGACAAAGCCCACAGAGATGAAGAATCCTTCTGGCACCAGAAGTCCAGAATACAATGGCTTAAATCAGGAGACAAAAACACCCACTTCTTTCATGCCTACACTATGCAAAGGAGGAAAACCAACCAAATTTCCAGGCTTCTCAGAGAGGATAATGTGATTTGTGAATCCAAGGAAGACATTGAAAGCTGCATTGTTGACTTCTACAGTCACCTCTTCTGCTCAGAGGGTACTTGGGAACCTGAAGGCCTCTTAGACTGCATTACCTCCACCATCAGCAGTTCTACCAACAGGTCTCTCTTGGCTCAAGTTGGAGAGAATGAGATAAAGAGAGTGCTTGACAGCATGAATCCCAATAAGGCTCCAGGCCTAGATGGTATGTCCCCTCTTTTCTACCAAAAATTCTGGAACATTATTAAGTCTAATCTTTGCATTGCCATTCAAAGCTTCTTTGATTCTTGCCAAATTCTTAAAAGTTGGAACCACACAACAATCACTCTGATTCCTAAATGCCTTAATCCCACTCAGGTGGCAAATTATAGGCCCATCAGCTTGTGTGGGGTTCCATACAAAATCATTTCTAAAATCTTGGCCTTTAGACTTAAGCATTGTCTGAACTCCTGCATCTCTGATAACCAAAATGCCTTCATTCCTGGTAGAAGCCTCATGGATAATGTAGTGGTTGCTCATGAAGCCATTCATTATCTAAACAGGCACTCTACTGGTTCTAAATTCTTGATGGCTCTGAAACTTGATATGGCAAAGGCTTTTGATAGAATTGAGTGGGCTAGCATTAGGAAAATAATGATAAAGATGGGGTTTCATGTGAAATTTGTAAACTGGATCATGGCTTGTGTTTCTTCTCCTCACTATTCCTTTAATATTAATGGCTCTGTGAGTGGTTTTGTTGCTCCTTCTAGGGGCATTAGACAAGGAGACCCAATATCTCCTTACATTTTTATCATTGTTGCCGAATTGTTCTCTTGCCTCATCAAAAAAGCTGTTGCTTCTGGTGACCTGCAGGGTATTCATCTTTCTAGAGGTGGCCCAACCCTTAGCCACCTCTTCTTTGCAGATGACACTATTCTTTTTTGCCATGCCAATAACCAAAATGCTTCTGCCATCCTCCAAATTCTCCAAACCTACCAGCAATTCACTGGCCAGAAAGTTAACATGCAAAAGTCTTCAATATTTTTTAGCAAAAACACTCCCTCTTCAACCCAAAGCTCCATTTGCAATATCCTTAATGGCATTCAACCCCAGCTTTCTTGCAAATACTTGGGTTTACCTCTCCAAATTGGTCACTCTAAAAAGCAAACCTTCTCTTTTGTAACTGAGGCTGTCAGGTCTAGGATTCAGAGCTGGAAAAATAAATTTCTTTCCCCTGCTGGTAGAGAAATTCTTATAAAATCAGTCCTAAGTGCCTTACCTATTTTTGTCATGTCTTGCTTTATCATTCCTATTTCAGTGTGTGATGAGATAAACAGGTTACTAGCTGAATTTTGGTGGAGCAAAAGTGATAACAGTGGGAGAGGAATTCATTGGAAGAGCTGGAAGATCATATCACTCCCTCTGGAAAATGGTGGTTTGGGTTTCTCTGATTTAAAAATCTTCAATGAATCTCTCATCTTCAAGCAGCTGTGGAGGATACTCACCAAGCCCAACCTTCTCATGAGCAGAATTCTCAAGAGTAAATACTTCTCCAAAGGCTCCTTCCTTGAATCCAAACCTCCTGCTAGCAGCTCTTGGCTCTGGAGAAGCTGGATGAAGACCTGTCCTTCCTTTAAGCAGCATCTCAGAATGATCATTGGGGATGGAAAAACTGCTCTAATTTGGGAGCATCCTTGGCTGCACAATCTCCCAAACCTCAAGCCCAGCAGAAACCATTGCAACCCTCAAACATTAACCAAAGTCTGTCAACTCATGAACCAAGCAGACAACAGCTGGAATATCACTCTAATCAGAAACACCTTCTCATCCCAGGAAGCAGATGCAATCCTTGATATTGATAATAATGACAGATCAAGGCCAGATAAGTTCATCTGGTCTCTGGACAAGAAAGGCTCCTTCTCAGTCTCCTCAGCCTATGCCAAGCTCATCAAAGAAAAAGTCAGCAAGCTTGATATTCCTGAAACTAGTTCTCAATCCTCCTGGATCAACAAAGTCAGAGCATCAAGTTGGAAGCTCAAGATCAAAAGGAAACTGAAACACTTCATATGGAAATGCTTCAACAACACACTCCCTTGCTGCACTAATCTGGCCAAAAGAGGAATGACTGTGGATACCATCTGCCCTGTTTGTGGTGATTCTGAGGAAACTGTAGAGCACATCTTCTTTCACTGCTATAAGGCTCAAATAACTTGGAAGCTGGCACCCCTAATCTGGAATAACACTAACCAGGAGACCCCCTGTTTCAAGCAATGGTGGAAGGATGTGTGCTTAAACAAAGATCAGGTTGTTGTGGATAGAATTGAGCTCACCACATAC